GTTTTCAAAGAAGCGGAGATGGGTGGGCGTAAGTAGAAATCCTACCAATTTTGGTTTTAAGTAGGTGCGGTAATTGACGAACTGAACTAGTTTTAAAATGTTCAACGCGAGCCGGATGTGGATGACGGACGTCCTGTTTTTCGGCGTAGTACGAGATTGCAAAAAACCAAAGTCGTATCCCACGAGACCGTTGGGAGGTCGACTCGACCGAGACCAAAGACAAAAAAGCAAGATTCAATCCTTTTCATCTCTTGCGCGTTTCATTCATTCATTCTACACTACCGGTATTGCAAAAGAAACAAGGAAACCAGGAAATAGACGACAAAACAGGTACCCCTATCAACATACATCAAACAAAGCACGGTAGAAACCAATCCAATAATAGAAGAAGAAAAACAAACGCCACAATGAATGATGAATTGAACGGCATCGAAGTCATTCGCACCTACATCAATCGAGTTGTTTCGGGGGATGGCAAATGCCGCGGTATGAAAGTGTTGTTGTTGGATGCCTCTACGACGCAAATAGTCTCTTGTGTGTATTCACAGACGGAAATATTGAATCAAGAAGTCTATTTGGTAGCCAGATTGGATGACAACAAACAACACATCAACCAATCGCACCTCAAGGCAGTCTGTTTGGTCCGACCGACCGAAGCGTCCGTCGCCAGCCTGGTCAAAGAATTGCAATCTCCACGATTTGCGGAATACCATATATTCTTTACGGGAATTTTGAGCTCGGGACTCTTGCGGATGTTGGCCGAAGATGACGTCTCGGAACGGGTGCAACAAGTCCAAGAATTTTATGGCGACTTTGTGCCCATCAATGAAGATTTGTTGACGATGCAATGCCGGAATACACTGGCCATGTGCGTGGCGGCTGGAACTAGTTGGGCTCCTCAATACGCCCATTTGTACGAACGCAATGTGAAAGGATTGGAAGGGATTCTGCTAAGCCTCAAACGACAACCGATTGTTGGGATTCGATTTGCCAAACATTCGGCGTGTGCGGAAGAACTGGCGCGGGACATACACGATGCGATAGAAGCAGATGAAATATTTCACTTTCGAAAGAAAAATCGGAAGGGTACCATGTTACTAGTGTTGGACAGAAGGGACGATCCGGTGACGCCATTGTTGAGTCAATGGACATATCAAGCCATGGTCCACGAATTGCTGGGTCTCAATAATCACCGTGTCATTCTAAAAGGAGCACCGAATATCACCGAAGATTTGGAAGAAGTGGTGCTTAGTTCTGGTCAGGACAAGTTCTTTGCTGCCAATCGACACAAGAACTTTGGAGAGTTGGGAGAAAACATTCAAGAATTGCTACGAAATTATCAAAAACAAACGGCACAACACAATACCGCCAATCTGAATACCATTGAAGAAATGCAAGCCTTCATGGATAAGTTTCCAGAGCTGAGATCACAATCTCACAATGTGTCCAAGCACGTGGCGATAATGGGGGAGTTGGCACGACTGGTGGATCTTTGCAGTTTGATGGATGTTTCGCAATTTGAACAAGAATTGGCGTGCAAGGACGATCATACGGCGCACTGGAGAGAGTTGATGGAAAAGTTGGGATCCCCGCGTGTCAAGATTCCCGACAAACTGCGGCTTGGATTGTTGTATGCCTTGAGATATGAAACCTCGGGGAATTTGCACATGGTCCAACAAGCCATGAAAAAGGGTGGTGTTCCAGCGGACATGGTGGAATTGATCAATGTCATGCTGCGATATGCGGGTACCAAATCACGAGGGCCCGGTTTGTATGGTGAAGATCACAATGCATTGGTCAAGATGACCAAGTCGTTCATGACCAGTGTACAAGGGGTATCGAATGTCTACGCCCAACATGTTCCACTCTTGATGGATACGCTCAATGCCGTCACCAAGGGAAAACTGAGAACAGACACTCATCCCTTTGTGGGCGGATCCTATGCCAAACCTGCAAGTGGTGTCCCGCCGGAAGCTGTCATACCGAATGAGATTATCGTATACATGGTGGGAGGTGTGACCTACGAAGAAGGTACCAAGATTAGTGAATTCAATGAAGCCAACAAGGGAAGGATCCAAGTGATACTGGGAGGAAGCACGGTACACAATAGTACTAGTTTCCTAGAAGAACTCAAAGCCACAGCAATGTAACTATTGTAACAATATTACTACTAATACTGCCTAATACGCTACCTGATACCATACCGGTAGAAACAACAACAACAACAACACGCACGAATTACATGTATGCAACACTTTCCTATCACTATTACTCAGCATAGGTACATGCAAATGAATCACGTTCATCTAGTGTTCCCGAATAGCCAGGGCGGTACGAGTACTGGTACCATACCAGGCACGTAACTTTCGATTTTCAGCAATCGTGCCCCAAGCTTTTCGGAGGGAATCAACCGATTGACACGGATTTCTGGTCATAAATGGGGTCATAGCTCCACACCTCCGTCGACGTACCGTATCTCTGGTACATTTTGAAGGTAGTCCAAACGGAAGGTGCAAATTTTCGGACCCGCCGTCAGAGTCAACGATCCTTATATAACTCCTTTGCCGGCCGACGGAAATATGCCAAAGGTTCGACTATTTTCGTTAAACCAGTCGGTACGTCGTAAGTTTCTCTTTAAATGAACGGACATGAATGCGATAGATTTCGTGAAATCTTTCGGCAGCTTGCTTGCGGAGGAAGGCAAGGGAGGATGATTCAACGCAGCTTGCTCGTTCGTTTGGTGCAGCGGCGAGACACTGGCGTTGGTTGTTTTTTTTGCTGTAGCTGAATTTTGGATTGCAGTGCCCGACTTGCATTACAATTAGTTGCGGTGTTTGACCATGGGATGCGGTTCGTCAACACCGGTAGCAGCTCCTGCAACAGGGGCAGACAACGGGCATAGACGAACTCCAGCGGATGATCCTGGAGAAGTAGGAAAATCGAACGCAATTGATAGGCAATTAGAGAGAGACAGACAACAAGATGAGTTGAAGGTAAAACTTTTGCTGCTGGGTGCCGGTGAATCTGGGAAATCGACGATCTTCAAGCAAATGAGAATTATCTATGGAACTCCAAGATCGGAAGATGATCTTCGAATGTACGGTGTTGTAGTAAGATCCAATGTAGTCACTGCGGTGAGAAAGCTATGCCAACTGCTTCGGAGCTTGGAGGCGGAAAGCCAATTGGCAGGGGAATCAGCAGCAGACCCTGAGGACACGATGAGCCCAAAAGAAGCTTACGATCTGTTGCGAGCTCATCTGATTGATGGCAATGGCCCGCCACTTGAAGAGGCAACAAACGGGGGCGCTGACTGGGTTGGACACAGCGCAAGGGCTGGATTGGGTCCCAACAATGATGCCAAGCTCTTTTTGCAATTGTGGCGGCCCGTCAAGATTTTGTGGGAGGTGAGTAGTTACCTATGTAGAATTGGAACTATTGTTGTGGTGCATAATTGTGTCTCACACCTATCCAAACGAAACTCTTGAATTCACAACTCACAGTCACGGACGCTAAAGGAGGTCTGGCAAAAGCGAGCACAAGTCAACATTATTGATGGACACAAAGATTACCTGCAAGATGTTTCTAGAATTGCATCACCGTCTTTCAAGCCAACCACACAAGATATCTTGTTGGCGCGTGTAAAGACTACGCAGGTGGTGATGGAACGATACAGAATCGATGGAATTGAATTCGAAATGTACGATGTTGGAGGTCAACGATCAGAGAGACGTAAATGGCTGGATTGTTTCGATAATGTCGACGCTGTTCTGTTTGTTGCGGCACTTTCAGAATATGATCAAAAGCTTGCGGAAGCAAGAAGAACAAACAGAATGATAGAAGCACTGGAATTGTTCCGATCGGTGTGTAATAACCGAGCGTTCTCCAACAGCCAGACATCCATCATGCTCTTTTTGAACAAGAAGGATGTCTTTGCAGAAAAGATTCTGTACAGTGATATAGCTGCGCAACCCGAATTCAAGGACTACGCAGGACCTCCAAGGGACTTCAACCATGGAGTCCTGTATTTCATTCAAAGATTCAAGGAATGTTTGATCAGTGATGAACAAGAATTCAAGGATTCCTTTATCCATGTAACGTGCGCGACAGATACAAACAATAGTAAGTTGGTTGATCATGGATGGCATGGTGATCATGACATGTTGTCCGAACATTGTCGTCTAACCCATTTCACTCTTGCTCTCTGTTACAGTGGAATTCGTTCTCGATTCAACACGAACTATTATCATGACAGACAACCTTCGAAGATCAGGGTTCCTAGGGAACGGCTAGCACTTGCCGCGCACTAAACAAATTTATCTCTCCTTGTATCCTCGCCTCTCGATGTCAGTCTTTTGTTAAACATTTTGACGATATGTAATTAAAAAGTGCAAAGCTTAGTATCTTCGAATCTATATACATCCGTACCACAATACGATGTGTTTTCTTCGCACCTCTTTTCTCTCTCTCTCTCTCTCTGAAGTCCCAGTGAGTGACTGAGTGACTCGTACCAAAAATATTGTGATCCCCAAAAATGTAGCGTGCCGGTCGGCTGTCCGTCGTCCAAAAGCGTTAAATTACTTAACGTGGGCGAGGCGTTTGTACGCAAAGATTCAGTAGATTTTCTACGGCACAAGCATTGGCAAACGTTTTTTCTCGTTGTTGCCGCTGGAGCAGACGACTCTGGGAAGAAGTGTTACGAAGTCCATCCCAAAACAAGGCAACAACCATGGCAACTCCTCACCCAACAAGAGGCACTGGTGATCTCACCACATTCAATATTCAGCATGGATTTGCGGAAGCCCTTCTCAGAGGAATGAGATCATCCTTTTTGAAGGATGCCGATTATCATCACTTGACGCAATGTGAGACTTTGGACGATGTGAAACTCAATCTGACCGAAACCGACTATGCCGATGTCCTTGCGGATTCGAATGCCATGAGTCCTGCTGCCTTTCAAAAGGTGGCTGTCGAAAAGGTGTGTAAAATAGATGTATTGTTGGATGCATGCTCTCGCTGGATGATTAGATTTGCAGGAGCTTCTAGAAGTGTACGCTGCTGGATGCTCCTTCTCCCAAGAAGATCCGTTGGAGCAAAAAGCACGAATCAAAATTCATTGTCCCAAATGTAACCAGGTTTCTCAACCTTGTTTGTCCTGTTGTTATTCTACAGCTTGTCTGTGAATTCCAGTACCTTAGAACACAAACTGTGGAACCACTTTCCACTTTTATGGATTTCATTACCTTTGAATACATGATTGAGAATGTTATGCTTTTGTTGAAGGGTGCATTGGGTGGTCGTGATATCAATGAACTCTTGGAGCAATGCCATCCATTGGGAATGTTTAAGGAAAGTACAATGCGTAGTATTCCTACTTTTGAGAACTCTGCCAGAGGGTACCAAGACTTGTACCAAACGGTTCTCGTGGATACTCCTGTTGGACCTTATTTTGCACAATTTCTTATGGAAAGTGCGTCCAGCCGAAGCGGGGGTTCCTACAATGTGCTTGCGGAAGTTGAGATTGAGATCATCAAGTCTTCCTTGATCAAGTACTGGCTTGAGGACTTTTACAACTTCACAATGAAACTTGGAGGACATACCGCTGAAATCATGGGAGAATTGTTGAGAGTACGAGCAGACAGCAATGCCATCAACATTACTCTGAACTCTTTCGGAACCGCTTTGAACGAGCCTGCCATGCGAACTTCGGACCGCAAGAGATTGTATCCTGGATTTGGACACTTGTACCCCGCAGGAATTGCCAACCTCTCCGATGTTACTGATGAGGAAGAGTTGGGTCGTGCTTTGGAGCCTTTCCCACAGTATGCTGCTGTTTGGAACATTCATGCTTCTGGACACGGGGATAAGACTATCGATGATGCCTTTTATGAACGTGATGTTCAAATGTTGGAATTGGCCTTTGAAAGTCAGTTTCACTTTGCTTCCTTTTACGCGTATGTCAAGCTAAAGGAACAAGAGATCCGTAACTTGGTTTGGGTTTCGGAATGTATTCTACAACAACAAAAGGATGAAATTCAAAATTTTGTCCAAGTCTTTAGCCAAAACGCACCATGGAGAAAGTAAATATATTGTTTCCACAGCTGAGACTATAAAACAAACGAGGACATATAATACAATCATTTCAATTTTCTACAATTTTTATGGGATATTATATGGAGGTTTTATCGTGAATGCTACAGTAGTGATCAGCAAGTTACAACTTCTGAGAAGCAGGATAGTTCTGCCCAACATCAATCACAACCCTTCCCTTAATCTCGCCCTTAACAATCTGGTCCGCTAAAAAAGGAAGTTGGCTAAAGGGTTCCACCTTGTAAATTTCGCTCAATATCTTGGCATCCATAAGTTCTGCCAAATCTTTCCAAGCTTTTTCTCGTTTGGCCATTGGCGCCATGACCGAGTCAATTCCCTGCAACGTCACTCCGCGCAGAATAAAGGGTGCTACAGAACTGGGCAAATCCATTCCTCCCACCAATCCGCAAGCAGCCACTAGACCACCATACTTTGTTTGGCTCAAGACGGAAGCCAATGTTTTGGATCCAACGGAATCGACTGCTGCAGCCCAAACTTCCTTTTCCAATGGCTTACTGTCCCGATCCAAGTCGCTGCGATCCAAAAAAGAGGAAGCACCCAGCGATTTCAAATAATCGTGGTTGGCACTACCACCCGTGGAGGCCTCGACATCATAACCCAACTTGGACAAGAGGTGAATGGCCACAGAACCCACACCTCCCGAAGCACCAGTTACTAATATGGGTCCATCCTCCGGCTTGACCCCGTGATCACGAATGGCATTGACGCACAACATGGACGTGTATCCAGCCGTTCCAATTCCCATGGCCTGTTCCAACGAAAATTCCTTTGGTACCGGTACCAACCACTCGGGTTTCATTTTGGCATATTCCGAATATCCACCCCATTGGGTCTCGCTGAGACCAAATCCATTCACCAGGACGGCATCGCCCTTTTGGAATTTGGACGACTGGGATTCCACCACGGTTCCCGAAAGATCAATCCCACCCACCATGGGAAGTGTTCGGCAGATTCGTCCCTTTCCCGCAACGGCCAATCCATCCTTATAGTTCAAGGTAGAGTAAGCAACCTTGATCAGTACTTCATGAGGTGGAAGATCGTCGACTGTGATTTGCTGGATGGAGCTCTTGGTTTTACGACTCCCAGCATCTTCGATCAACAGTGCGTGAAAGGGACCGCTGGGAGGGTCAGAAGAAGAAACAGTAGCGGTAGTTGCCATGGATCGAATATGATTGAAACTGATTCTAGAAGATGAGAATTGAAGAAAGTGAGTGCGAGATCGAGATACTACAAACATGGGCAGAGTTGCAATAAAGCACTCGTGAGTTTATTATGTTCTGTGGATTTTGGGATTTGGGATCTTTTGGATTCGCATCACTTTTAGGGGATGTTGAGATTTCGAAGGAGGGGCGGACATTTGGGAGACAACTACCACCTCATCGTTCTCATTTCCATCCATCATCATCTTTCATCATCTATCAGATGATGATGATGCTGATTGGTACCACCTTTCCTCTTCTTCTATTGATGTTCATAAAGTCTACCATGGCCCTTGCATCAGTATCATCTTCACAAAAGATTGCACTAATCACGGGGTCCAACAAGGGCATTGGTTATGAAATTGCTCGGAAAATTGGATCTGTCAAACAAGGTGATGATGGCGAGAATGCCTTTGTTTGTATTCTCGGTTGCCGGAACGAATTACTGGGGCAAAAGGCTATGGAAAAACTCAAGGCGGAAGGAATGAGTGTTGACTTTTGCAAAATTGATCTGGAAGACAAAGACTCCATCACATCGGCGGCAGCCTACATTCAAAAAACCTATGGTGGAAAATGTGACGTCTTGGTAAACAATGCTGCAGTATGTTTCAACGACCCCACTCTGTACGGAAAGGTGAAACATACGCCGTTCGATGAACAAGCCGAAATCACCATTCGGACCAACTTTTTTGGAACTTTGGCTCTGACTGAGGCCATGTTGCCACTGCTGGAGAAATCGGAATCGGGTCGTATCATCAACATTGCAAGTTCCGCCGGAAGACTCTCTATTCTACCATCACAAGAACGAAGGGATGCCTTTTCGTCGGAAACACTAGAATTAAAAGAGTTACAAGGTTTCATGAAGGACTTTGTCAAGGCCGCGAAAGATGGTACTCACAAAGAACAGGGGTGGCCAAACACTGGTTATGGGGTTTCCAAGGTTGGTATCATCGCCATGAGCAAAATCTTTGCACGAAAATATCCCAAGATGATGATCAATACTGTGGATCCGGGGTATTGTCAGACTGATCAAAATGATAATCAAGGGTTTGTCCCACCAGAACGAGGGGCTACCACGCCGTTCCTGTTGGCCACGATAGATCAACATTTCAGTGGCGTTCATTGGTATGAAGAACAAGCTATAGTATGGTAGATTACGTTGCTCTTTTGAATGCGGGCTATTATAATAGCGCCTCTAGAAGCAAATGAGACAACGTTAAGTTTGATTCCCTTTTCAGAGTGTTTGCCGATTTGAACTGGTTGTGTAGTTTATTGACACCTTCAATGATGGAACAGCAAAACAACCTATCAACTTAGATAGCTACTTCATCTTTATCTAGTCTGCTTTTCTGGCTGCTTGGACAATGAAGAGAGGATCAGTCATGCCTGGGTTAGGAGAGATATCTTTGCAGGATGGTGGGTCAAACATGCCAGAGTAGTGAAAGAAACTTCCTGCGATGAAGATGTGTTCCAAATCATTGGTTTGTAGCCAGATTTGGAAGGCCTTTGTAGGAAAGCTGTATGGTGGTGTTCACCACACAAAAAAGGAAAACATGAAAGTGATGAGATCGCCAGCAAACTAATTTGAAATGCAAAAGGCGCCAACCACGTCACACTCCACCTACCATCGGTTACTCATAGAAAGGATGCACTTGCCACCCGGTCTCAAAACACGTCCAATTTCCTTGACGACTTCCAAAGGCTTATTCAAATAATCGATCGAAACCACACAGGTCACCTTGTCAAAGGAAGCATCCTCGAATGGAAAGACAGGGTCTTCGTTCAAATCCTTGACTACATATGACGACAATTGGGGATTCTCACTCAGTTCGTAATCATTCATGCCCAAACCAACAACGTTTCCACCCTTGAATTCCTTGGGATAATGGGAGACCCAGCTGCTACATATGTCAAGTACGTCGTCGCCTTCCTCCAAGGCTTCCTCATAAAACTTGGTCAATGCCGAGACGGCAGCGTCATCAATGTGATAGCACAAGCGAGGAGTGTCGTAAAAGATGGCATCGCTACTTTCATCCATTCGAGAAAAATCTTGTTCGGAATAAGGCCATTCAGCTGGCCATTTGGGAGCTTCCAAGACCTTTTCAGCCATGCTTTGGAGGGGCCAAGTGAGAGGGAATCGAAAGCCTGGGGCACGAGATGGGACGGGAAGTTGAAGGGTGAATCCAGAAGCGACTTGGGAAACCAGAAGAATTGTAAGTGTCGTGTATCGGAACATGATGGTTAGGTTCAGCAAGGTCGTTCACAACTACAGTTGTTGTTATTGGATTTGCCAATATCTATTTTGAAATTCGTGTTGCGTTGTTTTTCTTTTGTGGTTCAACGTCACTCGTGAATGAAGCAACAGATGGGTCTTGTCAGGTTTCTTCTCTTGTGATATACCTGGTACCTACTATCGGAACCAATATCCACTTGAACACAAATGAATCACATTATCACTACTTCTCAAGCTACACTATTACTCAAATGTGTTGTTTGAATGAACCCAATTCGACGCGTGGCAATGTATCCAGATCTAGAGCTTATATCCATCATACTACCGACAAGATGCAATCGGGAAGGATCCACCATCCCTTGCAGCTGCCAAAAACATAGTTGTTTCATATTATCCCTTTGTATGTTTTGTCCATTGGTTACCGTATACACATTCATTCTTGAACTTTTATACATATAGCCTAGTAGTCACTTGTCTATTTGAAACTCTTCAATGCCGAGACGATGCGTTCCTTCATGGGCTTGAGCAACTTGATATGTTCGTCCACTTGTTGTCCCATGCACTTGACCAAAGCGTCTTCCACTTGTGTCATTTTGCGGGCATCGTTTTCAATCCCTGGATACATCATATCTCGGGCCTTTTCTTGACACTCTTGCATGTTGCGGTTCATTCGGTTTTGAAATTGGGCGACTTCCTGTAAGATGGATAGACACAATCAAAGGTAAAATGAAGAAACGTAATGTGGTTGGTTGAAGGTTATCAGAACGGCAAGAAATGAAAGTTAGTCAAACCGATTCAATATGCTGATAAGTAACAAAACGGTGAGCATACAGTACAAAGCTGCTTACATTTTGCATAAGAGCAGCCGATTGCTGGTATGGAACTTGGCAGTTACGCGCACATTGCTCCAAGGCTTCTTGGGGACCACTTGATCCAGCCTTGTCGTAGCACTTGACGGCACAGGCGAAAGATTCTCGGCCAATCTTTCGAATGTAGTTTCTCTCAATGTCTTCCAACACCAATCCTGCTTGAGCCTCGATCTTTTGATTCAAGGCGTTGGCCCTGCTTTGTGCGGATGCGCTTGCCATTGTGGAATGTGAATGTAGATAGAGTAGTTACTGTATTGAAGTACTGCAGAATAAACAGCTTTTGTGATGATGAGATGGAGAAGGCAGTTAGATCAGATCCAGATGACACAGATGCGGTCGTTGTTCATCTTCTGGTCTGTCTGCGTTGTAAAATTAGATGAGTCGTACGAATCAAATGGAGCACCTACAATTTCACCCTCATCATTGTCATTCATTCATCAAACAAACCCAGTGTGATTGAAGTCTAGTTGCTGGTTGCAGCAGCTGACTAACCAGACAGCCACTCTACCATGGGGACTACTGAGTCAATATTTTGGGAAGACGAAGATGGAACGGAATCCGTAGATCCACAAAGACATTTTCCACAGTCTCAGCAATCATCGCTCAAGCAGCCATCATCACGTCCATCTCCCAGCAAACCATCCACAGGACCTCGCAAAGGAGGTCGGCACCCACCGCCACCTATAATACGAATAAGAGGATTGCTGTTGGGAGGTCCAAAAACTGGAAAGCAGACACTCCTGGCACGTCTACAAGGAATTGATCCATACGGTCCTAATCTAGAATCGCACCAACCTACCAACCCTTCAGCACCACCCTCAGCACCACCTATAAGGACAGCGTCGATTCCATACCAACCAACTGATCAAAAAAAATGTTGGGATCGTATTCTATTGCATGTTCAGACCACCCGAACGATTGAGCCTGAACTACATGGTGCAACCGATTTTGCTATCTTGTTGATTCATCCCCTTCATAAGTTTGAGAAGACGAGATCCTATGTGTTGAGTGTGGTAGCCACGTTATTGAGACAAGCGGGATACAAACCAAAGCAGCAGCCACAAACA